GGCGGTGTCTGTGCCCGCTGTTTCTGTCTTAGCTCACAGTAAAAAGTACAACTTCGGAAAAAAAAAAAAAAAAAAAAAAAGTGGCTTTTAAAATGTTTTCTGTAACTTGCGCAGTTAGTTTGTACCTTAGTGTCTTACCCACGCGAAGCGAATGTGCTTGGTACTGCTTCTCAGCTCTGGGGTCGGCTGGTGCAGCTCCAGGCTGTCTGCTGGGGCAAGCAGGCAGGACAGAGTGTCAGTGAGTGTCAGTGATGAGTTCGGGATAGAAGTAGAAGGAAGCCAGCACCAGAGGATTTGATCCACAGGAACTTGAAGTCCTCTCACAGAAAACAGTTGGGAGGAGAAGGGGTGGCAGAGAACTGACAATTTGATCAGAGATAATGGTGACTCAAATCCACCAGCAGACATGTGCTCTTCACTCCAAAGCAAGCCGTTACCTACCTGCCAACATAATGTCGAACTGTCAAAGAAGATGCTGCTCTTTAAGGATGAACTTACCACTGTCATCTCTGATATATATTATTTGCTCTTAAGCGGAAGAAAATTGTTGCCTATGTCATGTAGCATCATCTTACAGAAATCAGGGGAAATTCAGAACTGGATTTTAACTCAGTGTTCACATTACTTTGCATATTTGATTTCTTTAAATATGCAATTTACAGGATACTTGGTGGTTGTGGATTAGAAGTGATTAAATCTTGTTTTCCTCCTAGTATGTACAGCTCCTGATCTCACTGAAAGTCTCTGTGGTAATATATTTTGTAAAAGTTTGCTTTTCATTTCTAATGCCTTTCTCTTGTTCCTGGCTGCAGCATGGAAAAATCATACAAGCATCTATTGCTGTCATTCTGAATGCTTCTGACAGACAGGAAGGAACAAACTTCAAAATGTATCACTGCCTCCCAAATATCATGAGCACTGGTATCCAGAATGAAAAATTTAGGAGAGTTACATGTTGGTTGTGCATCAGTGCATACCCACACAACTACTCATCAAGGTCAATTTTGATAGAACATTGAAAATGCAAAGAATTTTACAAAAGTGGATGGGAAATAAATGATTAAGTTTACTAAGTTTCAACATGTTAGTAGTGGCAGGCTTGGTTAGACCATCAAAACCTTCCAAATTCTCTGCTGATAGATCACATAATCAGTTGACAGATTGTTGAAGACCCACCTATGTTAGGACTCCCAACATTACAGCTTATCTAATGACAATAAGCATTTTCACTCTTGTTTGTCTTCTGTTTTAATAAAATACAATGTAGCATATTCTAGAAAGAAAGAAAAACTATTCTCTGAATTTTTATTTTTTTTTTCCTGCAGTCAATTCAGGGTTGCATGTTACTTTGAACTCTTCACTTTTAGCAAGCCCTTTCAAAGGCATCTTCACCAGAAACACAGCATCTCAAATTTCCATCTTATTCAAGCATCTCCCTTTCCTTTTGTCTTTGCTAAACAACTGTATATACTTCACATACCTTTGTGCGTTAATACACTTTGGTACAATTATGTCAGCCTGTGATGTGTGGCAACTTACTTTTAAAAAGAGTGAAATACCATTTAGCTTCATCCTGTTTACAACTTTGGTTCCACTTTTTGATATTAAGTAAGTCAAACAGAAATATGTGTAGTGTCTACTGACACGGACATATTAACAGAATTCTAAACTAAATAGATATGTAAAATGCTCTGGGTGAGAAGCTTATTAAATAAATCCCCAAGTAATGGACACAAATACCACAAATTACATATGAAATGTTTATTTTTACAGTAATAATTCCCCTTCAGAATTAGTCTGCTTCTAAAGCAAGTTACAGAGCTTGCTATCTTTGCAAGAGACTTGGTTTTACTTTCTTCACAATTACGTGTTCCAAGATCTGAAGTTAGAAAGCAGACAAGGAAATAGACGTTGTTTCATTTTCATATTCAAAAGATAAACATGGTCAAAACAGTTTTATTGCAACTACTTAAAAAACTCTCAAAACTGGAACTAGATTTGTCATTTTCAGCTGAAAATAAATAAAATGTTCATTGTTTATTCAGGACAATGTGAGGATTCTTTGCAAAAACTTCATGAATTAGAACAAGGCTTGAAAAGATACTCAGTTAAGTCGAATCTATGGAGGCAGACTGTGTACATTTCATTTTTCCTTCTTTAGAAATCTTTCAGGATGTAAAATGCTTTAAGATGAGCATGTAAGTTGTAATGGTTTTCCTTGCCCTATGTGGGTAGGTCTAGCCTGTTTGAGAAACATTTAGTCAGAAATATGTTTCTTTTTTTTTTTTTTTTTTTTTTTTTTTTTTTTTTTTTTTCAGAGCATGAAGAGCACTCTTAGAAGAAACTTGTTCAGTATTCATAGTCATTATCTGAAAGCTATTTATTTGAGTAATATGAGTGAATACTTCCAGGGGAAAAAAAAAAAAGAAAGAAAGAAAGAAAAAAGCCATCCTAGTAGTATGCCCAATTTTGTCCTCTTCTAAGCATTGTCTAGATAAGTGAGGTGTGGTAGGGAGCTCCTAGAAAAATGTCGTAATACTTTTCTGCAAAGTCTACTTTTGAATATCCTTACATATTCATATCCTTAAGCATGCAAAATGCAATTCACCCAACACTAAATACTACCTTACCCACTGGTGGATGATGCACTGCTTTGGCACTTCCCTCTCTAACAGTCTTGTATTCTCAATCAGGTAAAAAGCACAGCAATATACAACAATCCCAGAGAAAAAATAATAATAATTAAAAAAACCACACAAGAACAGGCATCAGTTCACACCATTGACTACCTGGAATGCTCTTAAATGCTACAATGACTAAGCAGTACAAGATCTTCCTTAAGACAGAACAAAGAAAATTAAATAATGCTCCCTCCTCCTTCCTATGTGTCTGTAACTGCCCCATTTCCCTTCTGTAGCGTTCTACGAACTAGCAGAGAGCTGCAGCTTTCCAGCAGCTCACCGGGATTTCCTCCAGAAATCCCTAAATGGAATGAGCAGAAGGCAGCAAAGAAGTTCACTTCATAGCCTACTCTACTCAGGAAAAGTGCTTCACCTGACAGATTTCTATTTTGTAGGAAGGACTGGTGTGTGCGGGATGTGCAGTGGCAATAAATCATGGATCAAAAGAAGGTGACATAGGGCTGTTTCCATATTGCTGACTGTGCCCTGATGGTATATACACAGATGAAACAAATGTAGTGCAGAACATTTTCATGTGTTTCTTTCAAATTGAATTATTTTGCTATTGTTGTTTTTGATAGCTTCTGTCAGGTTTCATGCAAATAGACCACATAATTTTTTAATTCATCTTTAATGAAGCTGATTGCTTGTTGTGAAAAGCGATGTCCACACCATGGACAGCATCTCTGTGTCTTTATTAATGGTCCCAGCCCACTGAATCCTGGAAGCCGTGTGGCTCTGCAAAGGTTGGTCTGCTCTGAATTCAAGTAAAAGCATTTAATGCCAAATCAGCTGAGTCACAATTTAGCAATAGCTTGGGGACTCCTTTTAAGAGACTCCTATATCCATTATAGGATAAAACATCGCAAGCTGCCAAGAGTTGTGTGGATGTAAAAAGGAGGCAGGCAGGCAGTGGCAAGCAATCGTGCTATCTATAGAACTTTCTGAAAATGAATTTTGAAATAGAGTTCACTGATAGGAAGTGGCTTGTTATGAAAAGCATTGAAAGGTACTACGAATATTGTCACCGTGACACTCAGAATTTTGCTTAGTGCCAGGGAGAACAGATAACATATGCAGCACAGTACAGTGAGAAAACGCGTCAGTGGGAAAAGTCTGAGGTTCCTCAACAAAATCTGTGCACAGAACAAAATAAAATTGAATTATTAAAACTACAGTCTGAGTTGAAGGAGAAGACACAGACAGTGCAAACACCAGTGCAGTGTTCTCAGTGGATCTGCAGTTAAAACTCCTGGTGACTGCGACACAGATTCTTCTCTAGCCCATCACAGTAGGTCTCCATTGAGTTGTACAGACTCACTTTACTTCCTAATCAAGTTCAGCTTGTGTAGAGTTAACTTTTGTTTTGTTTTGTTCTCCCAATACTATCCTATCTTTTTAGTGGGATATCCTCTGTATTTAACTAGTGCTTAGCACAATGAGATGTGATTTTATTTGTGTTTTGGTTATAGAAATAGGATGTACTTATAACAGTGAAGAACTAAAGTTGTGCCTTTTGGGGTCTACTTACAACCAGGAAAAAAATTAATACTAATAGAATTTCTCACTTGAATATTTCTTGGAAGAAACAGTGGCTACTAATTTGCAAACCTCCTGTAATATAATTGTGGTGAACCAGGTTTGGAGGTTTGGGATTTTTTTCTTTTTTAATATATCCAAGC